AGAGTGATTCTACGTTGGATTTCGATGCTGACATTATTATCGGTGTTAATGCTGATTTCCAAGTAAACGAAATTCTCTATTTTCTCGAAATTGTAACTGTCAACAGTGACGTGGGTGCCAAGGCGCGAATGTGCTGACTGTTTGTTTGATGACAGGAGATACTTCGTCTTGTCCTCGTTTACCACCAGGCCCATTCGCTTTGCTTCCTTATCCAACCTGGAAAAGGCAGAGCAGGTTTCGCGGTTTTTGATACCGAAGATATCGATGTCATCGGCATAAGCCAGCAATTGCACGCTCTTGTAGTAAATAAAGGTCATCACATATTGGCTATAATTTTTCAAACTAATTTTAGGTAATTAGTTTTTTAATATTGTTCATTTTATGTCGAAATCCATATAAATTCAAGTTTCTAACTTTGTGCAAAATTCATCTTATTACGATCAAAATTTCCCACTTTTTATTCAGAGAAAGTAAAGTATGTATGTGATAACTACAGAAGAAAAAAATATTCGCTAAATCCCGATCTAGGCGCTTAAAATAAGTGCTGACAGGTAACAAAATCAAAGGAGATAAGATCAATTGACACTATTTCACATACTGGTTCGAGATAAAGTCAATTGCCATTATTACCTTTTCAAAAGCGAAATAAAGTCCGTTGACATTATCGCTCTTTCAAACATTAAATTTGCGTAGCTTCGCGGCATTTGAATTAGGAAAGAGCACTTACTTTATTTCCAAATTTATTTCGCTTTTGAAAAGTTAATTATGTCAATTGAGATTATTTCGCTTCAATATGCGAAATAGTGTCAATTGACGTTATTTCCGCTGATCTCATTACCTATCACCAAATAAATACTAAAATCAACAAAATACTATGATCAATAAAAAAATATGCCCGATAAATTTGATTATTTACTGTTATAGACCAAATGGTTCAAATTCAAGTCCTGGTCAAAGCAACATCGCAAAAAATATAGAAAATGTTTTTTTCTTAGCAGCGGTCGCCCCTCGGCAGGCAATGGCAAACCAGCGAGTGTATTTCTGCCATGAAAAACAGCTCCTCATAAAAATACAATCTACGTTCGGAGTTGGCGTAAAACTGTATGCCAGCATCAATGTGCACGCCACGAATGGGAAGAGAAGCTCGGCCAAACACTAACATATGTGTAAGCGCCAATCTTTATTATTATTACTATTATTATTATTATTATTATTATTATACCCGCGCGCACTTGTGCAACTTAGGTCTTTGAGTTGCGAAAAGACCAAAAAAATATAATTTTT